GCTGGGATCGTTGTGTTCACTCCCAGGGGAACTACTTCGAGGGTGATGGATGAATTTAATACCTGAGATAAGTGTGCGGGTTTTTATAGGCGCAGTTTAGAAACTTTCCGATCGCACCTCGTATGTGACACAAAACATCACAAAATAAATTCATCCACTGTCCGTTTCATTTTATTATTATCTCTTGTCTGCGAATGGGCCAGATCTTAGCCAGTTTGTAAATTTTAGTGATCTGCTATGGGACATGATCATAGCAACATTGTTTTTTAGAAAGTTTGTTATAATTACAGTGTTTACTGATACCCTTTCCCCAACACAACCAAAATATTTTAGATTTAATCTAAGACATTATAATGGGATCATTGTTTATTGTTGTCAGTCATTAAAATAATAGAAAGTTTGTTTGTGTTAGGCGAAACTTGAGTCAATGAGGAAAGAGGCTTCTGAGTACGAGAGTTTGCTGGAACAGGCAAACGCAGTTCTCATAGCCATGCGTGCAGAAGAAGAAAAACTGAAGCGACGAATACGAGAGCCGAAGAATGTAAGTTAAAAGTATTATTGAATATTCTGAAGTCCGTGCTTTATCGCCACATTTATTGTTCCCGTGGTGTCTGAAGCATGAATGTTTCTTCCTGTGTTAAATTTTCTTGTTTCCTAGCGTTAAATAATGTCCCCTTCACTATCTTGGACAGGCAAATGCTGGGAATCCTTCACTCCATGTTCTCAAATATGATGTTGTTAAGAGAATTTGTGTGTTCTGGTACTGTACAGATTGGAATGTGTTTGCTGTCTCAGTATGACATTTGTCTTATTCATAATTCTTAAAACTGTACATTTTATAAGATTTGCAATTATTAGTATATCAATCCCTCAGATCCAGACGTGTCTCATAGTTTTTGTGATATTCAGCTCCTACTGGCAAATCCAAAGTGCCAAAGAGCCTGAAATTCAGATCAAGGTATAATTCATTTCAAAGACGTTGGTCTACTTAAATGCTACAAATGAATTGGTTTCTAACAAGCAAT